GTGCTTTGCAGATGATTTGCTTGTATTGACCAATGGATCTGTGAGGGGTGTAACTGGTATTAGAAGGTCGCTTGATCAGTTTTACCTCGTCTCTCGACTTCAATGTAATATGGCTAAATGTAGTCTCTATTGTGCTGGAATCTCAAGGAAGAAGAGGTATTTATTTCAAGTACTTGAAGCGTGAGCCATATCAAGTCTTCACCATTGTTTGTCATCTCCTTCACATTTACATAGTTGTTTGCCAACCTCGGGGACGAGGTTGTTTTAAGGGGGGGGGGGATTGATGGGTGATAGATTATTAATATTAATTAATATTATTATTATAGGGAAGTCGGCTACTGTTAGCCGAAGTGGGAGGGAATTATTATTGTTATGTGGTGTTTTGGGTAGAATTATAGTAGGTTTAGGAGTTTGTTGGCTGAATAGGAGTAGTAAAGGGGTGGGTGGCTATTGCTTGGCCGGGTAGACTAGGTTTAGTTATTAGGGTTTGGTGTGTTTTACTATAAACATTTACTTGGTGGTTCAGTTTAGAAATGAATGAATATGAAAAACTCTTAATTTAGTTATTTTAGTTTATTTATCGTTCTTGTGCTGCGATGTTTGGTACGTCAATGCATCAATTGGTATCAGAGCTTGGTTCCGACGAACCGAGCTCGTTGCTGCAGCTCCCAGGCAGGTATCGCCGACGTTCAATCACCAACGTTGGGAAGAGGTTCCGCGAGCAACCACGCCGCCGCCAAAGTTCCCAGGGCCAACTTCGCTGGACGTTCGCCATGCATCGCTGGAGGTTACGACCTCATACATTATTGCCGACCTTATTGATGGAGGTCACGTCGGAGACTGTCGGCCGATGTTAGAATCCCTTGACGAACCGCCAGACGTTCGCGTCAAACTTTTGGAGGCTGCGCACCTATGGCCGTAACCTCGTCCCCACCTGTCAATACCGTCACCAGATGTGGGGACGGAAGCTGCGTTCCCACGTGGTAACTTGTCTTGGAGATTCTTAAGGACCTGCTACAAACCCTCCATAGGCAATGCGAGGAGATGAAGGCTTTCTCCAAGAAACAGCGGGAAGCCTATCAAGCCTTCCCTGCCACAGCTGCAACCGCCACAATTCTCACCATGCCAGCCCCGTCGCAACTGCTGGAATTTGTTCCTGGAGCCGTTGTCTCCATCAAGGGAACCCATCAGCCCACTGTTTCTGTTCCGATCATTGTCAACGTGCAAATATCGACTGCTACCACGCCACGGTCGTTGTCGACCTCTCATCTGCCGCCTCTAGCTCATGAAGCTGCCTTCAACAATTTCGTGGAAAATTCCCATGACGCTGTGGCAGCCTTCTCTGCCTCTATGACTCCTATTTTGGGGTATGAGTTCATTTTCTTTTCTAACAATGACCCCTTTCTATTTGTCCATTCATCCGAATCTCACGGACGAGATTATTTAAGGGGGTGGAGTATGGAAGGAAGAAGACGACGATATGCAAGGGTTGTGCTAGGAATTGAAAGTTCAGGAAGCGAGCAAATGAAGAATCAAACTACTCTGTTATGAAGATGCTCCGTCTAAACTGGAAGTAGAGGAAGCGCGAGCCATACCAAGTCTTCACCATCGTCTGTCATCGCCTTCACATTTGCGTAGTTGTTTGCCAACCTCGGGGACGAGGTTGTTTTTAGGGGGTGTGGATTAATGGGTGATAGATTATTAATATTAATTAATATTATTATTATAAGGAAGTCAGCTACTGTTAGCCGAAGTGGGAGGGGTGTTTTACTATAAATATGTACTTTGTGGTTCAGTTTAGAAATGAAAGAAGAAGAAAAACTCTTAATTTAGTTAATTTAGTTTATTTATCGTTCTTGTGCTGCGATGGTTGGTACGTCAATGCATCAATAGTCTATTCAAAAGCTCCTTAATCAGTAATATAATTGAACTCTTTGGCGGGTTCAAGGAGTCCAAAAATGTTGGTCTTATTATGTATTGAAAACCAAAGGAAGAAAGAATAATTAATAGACTCGTTGAATAAGCTTGTTATTCGAAATAAAATCATGCTTTAGAAATCAACTCTTCTATATTTCCCTGAAATGAGAGGCATCAGTATGTTCTATGTTGACAAACTAATTGGTGTTTTATTAATGACAATTTATTTTCAATGAAAACTAGTCAGAATTTTAAATAAAAAAGGCCAGCAATACAAGGGAAAAGTTAATCTGCTAACTTGAAAATTCGTTAGCAGATACTAACTGATATCCAAAATACATGAACTAGTATCCAAGTACTAAAGTATCTAGAGAGCACAGACTAGTATTCAAAGTTTGCTAACTGATATCCACCATGAATCAACTATTATCCCAAATTCACAAACTAATATCTAGACAACACAGAATAGTATCCATATAACACATAATTAGTATCCCGATAACATTTAAGAGTATCCAGATAACACATAAGAGTATCCATATTGAATACTAGTTGGTTGATTGTGGATATTAGTTGGTATCTGCTATCTGGATACTAGTTTGTGATGTTTTGAATACTAGTATGTGTTATCTAGATACTCAGCAGACTTGGATATTAGTTCATATATTTTGGATATTAATTAGTATATACTAACAAATTTTCAAGTTAGCAGAATAACTAGACTGGCAATACAATGGCAACCAGCGATCGGGCGGCTCTCAAAAGCTACAGCATGCTCGCTGCCGTGCGAGACACGAATCTGGATCACGTCCACCATTGATATCATCTTAAACAAACAACCGAGATGAGAATCGATGCCCAGCCCAAGGCTAGCCCAGGCAAAAAGCGTCAACAAAAGTGAATGATCAATTAGGGTTTGCGAAATGCTGTGTTGAGATTATGGTGGAGTCAAAGTGCCCTGAAGTTTTGTGATTTGCTCCGGATGAAGGGACTGGTTTCTCTTCTCTTAAGTATTTCAATTTTCCCCAAATCTGTCAGAAGTGTAGTAGGTTTGGCCATGATTGCGGTAAGGAGGAGTGGAATAAGAAGAAAGTATGGTTTCTGAAGGCTAGAAAGCAGAATCAAGAGGAACATGTGGTGCAGATTGAGCATATTCCAGAAAAGGTCTAGATGGAGATTGTGGCTCCAGTAGTTGAGAATTTTGAGGAAGCTTCCTTGATCGAGGAGAAGGGTGAGAGGCTGGGGGATATCTGCGGTGCCCCTACTAGTGAAGAAGATACTGAGGATATCTGCGGCACCGACAGAGTTTTCCGTCTCGATGATTTGGAAGCTCGGGAGGTGCGATTAGAGGGCGCTTGTGGAAGGGCTTCAGGTCGGGGCATTTCAGATGCTGGTGCTGGTTCTGCAGCTCGAGTGCACGGAAGAGACCAAGGTGAAGGCGACGACGGTTCTAAAGACATGAATCCTTTTAGGATGGAGTTCGAGTGCACTGAATCTGTGGATTTCAGGAACCTGAAACGATCGTTCTGAAGATCAATCTTTGCGGTGGTGAATTTTTGGGGGCAGGATTTGGTGTACGATAGAAATAGGATGATTCTTTTGTGTAAAAAATAGTTAATGATCTTAGTCTAGAGTGAGGATTGCAATGCATACAGTACAATTCTTTTTACAAATCAATAACAACGATTGTGGGTTATAAAACCATTTCAATTTTTCTATACAAGTCCATCATGCTGATGCGGTTCTACAATGAAGTCGGTTCAACGTACTCTTGCAACCACTCTACAATTACATTTAATACTATTGCGTTGCACAGTTGTGACGGTTGTTTTTCGCTATCTGGTTCTCACGACCGTGAGAATTTTCGCGGTTGATGTCATCCAGTCCGTGAGTTTTTCTTGTTCCCTTTCTGTCCCATTTTACAGTATAGTATGTACAAGTCACAGTCCAAGTCTCACGACTGTGACTTTTCCCGACCCAAAATTGGGTTGGTTTGTCTCCATTTGCCCTATGTGACCAGTAGAAAGGGTGTTGATATTACTTGAATCGAATGATCTGTCGTCGGACTCGCACCAGTTCTATAACCTTATCATTTGTTATATTCGATTGTGGTTAGACCATTATACTCCTCTATAATATGTAATCTCCTCAAATATAATGAAATTGGTTCTCTCCTCGTCCATCGACTAGTAAGCACACATTGCGCTATAAACCACATAAATCTATATATACTTTCTTCACTATCGTTCCTTTCTTCTATTCTCGATTAACCCCGGTTCGTGCGTGACAAAGAGAATTAAATTTTTTTCTTGTCATTGTATTTAAGGTTGGATTACATTTTCAATAAAAAAAGGCGGGTTTATATCAGGCCGCTCTAAGTCTCTATCATCAAAGAAATAAAATAGAAAAAAGTTTCGCCTTGTCACGGAGAATGGAGAAACCATGATTTTTTTTCTTGATTCTATTCGATTTCATCAGAAACTTTGAGGTCGTTTGCTTGTAGGATTTCAAAATGAAAAATTTAGGTAAAACCTTAAATTTTATGAATGAAGGATTATGTGGGATTTTGTGACTTTGGATTTGTGTTGGATTTTAAGAAGTGTTTTTTTCTTGTTGGATTTCATATTGGATTTGTGCCCATGTGATTTATTAATTATAGGCTGAATTTACATTTGTATCCTTAATGATTTGTGTCATTGATGTTCAATATAGGAAATATTGAAAAGAGATGAGGATAGATTCGTCATTTACCATCATGGATATTAGCCCCCCACAAAATCCCAACTAAATAGGTGGGATTTTATAATTTGTGGACCCCACGAATTTTGGCCTCAAAATAATCCCACTTCCATGGACCCACACACAATAATCCAACACCACTTTAACACCACATATGGACTTTGTGCATAATCTCATAGATGTGGGATTTTAATCCAACATCCATGATGAAAATCCTACAAGCAAGCGACCTCTTTCTGTGATGCCGGATATGGTGTTTCATGAACATTGATGCAAAGTATAGGAGTTAAAACGGTTCACGGTTGCATTGTATGAAATTTCATAGTAGAACGAATATTCAAATGGTGTTTTCCATTGACGGAAGAAGCCAATAAGTTAATTGAAGAAAGAACACGATACAACAATGCATGATAGATCATATCACACATCTTATTGCAAAATCATAGTCACTGGAGCTAAGCCGATTAGCCGAAGGCATGGGGGAGAAGAGCAAACAAACCCACAACAGGTGCTAAATCCAGTAAAATAAACAGAAATTGCGTCTGTGTCTAATAATCACATATCTGTCCATAACAAGTGTGGAAAATAAGGCGAAAAATAGCTGCTGCTTAGATACTGTTACAACTACAGATTACTAATCAAAGGAGATTCTGGTCGATACAATGGCAGTAAAAACATGGCATAACTCTACTGCTCCTTGGCCCTCTTTTCCACTTCCTCCAACCTCTGGATCTCTTTGTGGTAATGGGAAATACGATAGAGACACCTGCACGGCGATTTGGAAGACGTAATTAGATGAACACCTCGAGTAAGAAATACAAGGTCCCAGAAATTTTGGAGACATGCATTTTCTATAGAGGCTGATTGTTTGCATACCAGTACAGCGTGCAAGCTATAGCACAAAGAACTACGTTCCTCTGCGATTTGTACATCTGCACGAGCACGGCATAACCAAACAATGATGGTCTTATCATCATAACAAAAAGACAAGTCCAAAACAATCATCCAAAGAGAATGGAGACAATAGTGTTGAAAATTAGACGTAAAAGTATCATTAGCACAACACAATTGAGAAGGCAGTCAACTGAGGAACAATTCATATGAGAGACTAGATCCTAAGTTTCTTACTATAAGAAATGCAGGGAGGGCCTACTGTAATAATACTGAAGAGTTATATTAACTTCAGACTCTCCCCATATCGGATAAGTCTCACCAGATGATGCCTAAATGTGGAAGAGCCAGTTATTCATAAGAAATACTACTGTGTAACCAATTCTCACTGTCTAATCTGCAAAACTTCAGTTACTTTCTGCTGTAAGCTCTGTCGGATCCTAGATATGACTGCAGAAATAGAACAGCATCAGCGGCAAATAAAGATTCCACGACACCGCATCAAGACATACTCGGCGCATAGGACACGTCAACGCCTGTCTCCAAGGGTTATCATGCTCATAATAGACTTGCCACTCACTAGTTTCTTGTTCAGCAACCAGATAATAAAAAGAAGAGAAAGAAGCCTCAGTTCCCATAACAGCTTGTCGTTGTTTAATCTACGATCTTAGTGACTTGTGTTGGCTGCTTAAGACCATGGGATATTGCAGCAAGGTCGAATCTAGTTGACAACAGTCTTTTGAGGTTCGCCATTTACTACCTTTAAATCATTGAAAATGCTTCAGAGTATGCTCCAATGCACATATAAAAGTATCCTTTGTTCATCAGAGGCTCTAAATACATATACCCCCTACAACCTAAAGCTTATTTCCTTCCCATGACTCTTCTGATTGACGACTATCAACATAAGGCGTGCAAAATGAAAGTAGGAAGGGCTGAGTTTCAACTCCAAACTAGTGTTTGCACATCTACTCATCCCCTCTGCCTTAGGAATTAAGAGCTACATTTCTTACTATGACCAAGATCAACATCAGCACACCTAACCACTACTTTCCTAGTTATCCATCAAAATTCCCCCAAAATCTAAAAGCTGCACAGTAACATTCGAATCACTACCTTCCTAAGTATCAATCAAGTTCCTGAATCTAGCGGCGAAAGCTTCACAAAACTAACATCAATCAATCAATAACTTTTACGAATTAAAACAGGAAGAAAACCAAAGGCATACAGATTTCTCATAACGATCCCGCTCAGCGGCGGTGCAGATATCCGACGTGCACACCAACCGATGCTCATTCTTCCAATAAATATCTGCAAAACAAAAAACAAAAGTTTCAAACCAAACAGTGCTTTCACACACATCGATCCGAACGCCGCTGGAGCTGAAAACCGAATCTAAGACGAATCGAGAAAAGTAGAGAGAAAGTCGGCTCACCGAGGAGCTGAAATCCGGCGAAAGGGACGACGAACAGCGCCGGCTGTAGGATTAAGGAGACGAGAGAGACCAGCTGCTTCTTGAGTAGCTTTGGCGCAGGGATCGTCAACAAAGAGACGAGTACCACCTCCGCTGCCACCACGTAGGCCAGGATCATCCATTGCAACGCCATTCCCCCAAACTTGGACGAAAATGCTGCCTTCTAGCTCGCTGCAGAAGTGCGAATTCTGGTTTCGGGAGTTTCCAGAAGCGGTGGATTTGGCTTAGCTGCCTGCTGAGGAAACTGCTTTTAATTTTCTTTGGTTTGTGGTTCTGTCCGGGTCCTGGTCTCGATCCGTTGCTTATAGGGATGGCAATGGGTCGGGTTGGGGCGGGTTTTGTCAAACCCAAACTCAAACCCATGGGTTTATCCTCCAAAAAAACTTGGGGTAAAACCCGTTGGGTTTGAAAAACTCAAACCCAGCCCAACCCGTTGGGTATCCGCGGGTTCATGGGTACCCGTGGGTTTTTGTGGTAAAAAATTTACAATAACAAGTTTCTTTCAAAATAAAAGTTTAACATCAATTTTCTCATACAAAAAAACACCAATTTAGAAGCATACAAGCAAACCGCAAATGATCAATACAAATTGTTCAAAATTAAAGATAAACATCTATAAACAAAAGATTAATTGAAAGCTTTTTCCTCGTTAACTAAAGTTTCTTCACTCTCCACTTCATAATATCAACTTCATTCTAAACAATTAGAAAGAACAAATTATACATGTCTCCACAAACATAAAGAATATTAATTGTTTAATGAAGATATATTATTTAGAATATTAAATATACCTGGAAAGTAATTATATGTGTGTGGGCGGGTACCCATGGGTCGAGTTTACCTAAACCCAAACCCAACCCGACCCGGTGAATAGTGTAGCGGGTTTAAACCCGAACCCGGCCCAAAACCCGTCAACACGGGTTTTACCCACGTTGACCGGGTTGGGTCGGGTGGGTACCCGTGGGTTCGGGTTTTGTTGCCATCCCTAGTTGCTTAGCGAGGAAGGCGTGGTGTCATTTAATGCTTTTTCTAGGGATGTCAATCCAACCCGTAATCATGGGTACCCTACCCGACCGTAACCGGTCAACGAGGGTAATTACCCGTTTTGACGGGTTAAGGGGCGGGTACGGGTAATACCCGATTTCAAAATAAAGGGTAGGGTACGGGTATGGTAATCGATAATACCCGCGCCGTTATACCTGCCCCGCTAACCAAATGGTCAATTTCCCTTGAGAAATTTATTTTAGCTTGAGAAATTGAGTTTAGCTACCATTATTGATGACGAAGATGTAGACGATTATTATGTTTGTGTGGATTGTAGAAGCAAGAACAATTATTATGTGTTTGCTGTTTTTATTTGTGTGGATTGTCGAAGCTAGAACAGTTACAATTATTGAGAATTTTTAATGGACAACAGTATATATGTGCATATATGTGTATAAGTTCTTAGTTTAGGATTCGTACCCATTGTTACCCGAATACCCGTGGTTACCCGGTGGGTAGGGTATGGTTATATAATTTTCATACCCGGTGGTTATTTTGTCGGATATTTTAGAAAGGTCTACCAAGCGGGTTAGGAGTTGGTATAGGGTAAACCCGCACCCGACCCTACCCATTGCCATCCCTAGCTTTTTCTCTATTTCGGTCCATTTTATTATTCAAAGGATGTTTGGGCTGCGTTTTGGTGCACCGTGGGCCGGTTCCGTGGGTTTAGATGTTATGGTCCAACAAATCCAATTTCATTCCCACCACAGGCGGCACATATGAGAGAGACAGTAAATGATATGTGTTGCCCTTACATTTACATAGGATGACAAAACTCTTTCCTCCATCTCTTGATCATTGCCAATTGTTTTATTCTTTGCCCCTATCTCCCAATCCAACTGGCAGAAGTATCATGTTAATCTTTTAGCCAATTGCTCTGAAGCCCTACGAACCTAGAGCTGCTAATGATGCAGACCACTGTACTAGCTCTATGGTCCCAGGCTGAGAAGATTGATCTGCAAATATCCCAAAACATTTAAAATTTCGCGACTCTAGCTCTCACAAGCTCTACCTTGATGCCTTGAACTGCAGCTCATACCCTGTGCTCTGAATCATAGCATCCATCCGGTGGATGGTACTACAACCAAGGTCGATGTGCAGAAGAAGGACGGGGACGGGTGCGTCACCCGGGACATGCTTGTCAATGAAGGTTAAGGTTGAACCAGATGCTGCCATTTAATGTCACTTCATCAAACACTATGTTCTTATTCAATTGTTCTCCAAGGCTGCTCAAAATACAAACGAACGTATACCTGGAACCCTTTGAATTTGTTGGGGAAACTTCTATGCACTTCCAAGGAAATTCATATTCTATTTCGACGATTCCAACAAAGAGGGGGCAAAGCGAGGGGGAGCGCCAATGGGAGGCGGTTCTATTTTATTATGGATTGTGATCGTCTGGTAAGGTGGCGGTTCGACAGGGATAGAGGGTTAGTCGGGGAAAAGATTCGTTCGTTTTGTTTTCAAAGAATAAACGTAAGAGGGAGCTTGCGAAGGAGATGCCTGGAGGCATATGGTAGAGACTTGAGACACTATCAATTACAGTGAAGTTCGCTGAAACTGATTTCCGGCGGAGAAGAAGACGACGAAAGTGATTCTGTTCTAGGTTTCCTTTTATTGGTTTTTTCCTTGTAACATTAATGAATTTACAATTAGTCTGTTCCGTCAGTTTGGGTAGCTTGGTTGGTTATCAGTTTCTGGTTCAAATTAAATAAAATCCGATCATGCCACATAATAGTCCACGTGGACCAATGAAAAATGCGTTACCGGTGTCGCACTTTTTATGGCGGCACCGTAGTATTGACCGTAATGTCTATATATCTTAAAAAATATTAAAGCCCTTTCAGATTTTCAGCGTATCCACATCAGCCTTTCTGAAAGTATAACCATCCACGATAGCCACTTAAAATAAGACTCTCTCTCTTCCGTCGAAAATCCCCTCCTTTTTCACCCTTTATGCAGTCTCTTCTTCGTTCATCCGTGACCCTGATTCTAACCGTCCACCCAAAAGTTTCCTTCTCATCAAATTTGCAGTGCTTTTATCCCCGTCAATGTCGGCAATGTTCAAACCATAGAGCGCGGCTTCTCCAATTCGCCAAACAAAAACAGTCAACGATATCAATTTCGATATTTCCTCCCCGATCTCATCGACGGCGCTACAAATGTGTTTTACTGCAATTGGAATTTGGAAGATTTTCAGTATGTTTACGCTATCAACCATTCACTTATTTCGTATTTATTCCTTTTTCCAATGGAATCCCTAAGTTATTCAGATGTTTATTCTTTTTTAAGGGCAAAGTTCAGATATTTCTCCGATTAGACAGTGGCGACTAGGTCATTTGGTCCAATTCCGGGGTTCCCCAGGCAGATTTCGCCAATGATTTTGCTTCCTCAACCAGCCATATGCAATGTCCCGGTGGAGGACTGGATCTTTCCGGTGATTAAGAACAGAGAAAGAGACTGGATTGAGGAAGAAATGAGGTGAATTGAGAAGAAGAATCAGAAGAAAGGGAGAGATCAGAGAAGTTGTAGAGGAAGAAAAGAAGGAGATAGAGGGCAAAGAACCAGAAGAGAGGAAATTCTTAGTGATTTCATTCGATAATCCTCTTTACAGCTTATTCCCTCCTGTTATATGACCACCTAATTACAAACTGGTCCCTCAACTAAATCCTAGTACAACTAAATCCCCATTCATTACAATCCCAAACCCTTGAGGATAGACTTGTCCTCAAGTCTAAAAACCAAATGTAGGGCTAACACAACAAGGAAATGAGCTAACAAGCTAACGAAAGAAACAATGGAAATGGAAATGATCATATGCTGAGTAGAAGACAAGGGCTCCCAAGGGAAACGAGGTTAAAATGTGTGCAATTAGGCCCGAATCACTCCCCCACACTTAGACGTTTGCTTGTCCCCAAGCAAACCATTTCACACAAGGTAAAAACTCATCCTATCAAAATGCTTTGGAGACAATTCAAAGGGCACAAAGTGGTGAATCTCAAATGGCTATTGGCAATTAACACAAGGACCGTTGCAAGCAATACCGACATCCACCATAAACGACATTCGAGGCTACTAGAAACGGGCAAATGAAAAGTTCTCACCGTGTTCATGAATCAATGCAAGTTTCAACAAGATCACTTACCAACCACAACTAACCATTCATAGAGCTCAAGTCCAAGAAACAAATGGATGGGCAACAAAGGTCCTCACCAGGGTATGATATGGCATGCAAAACAAGAATGAGTCACTCACTCTCTTGACCAGTGGGTTCAGGACCTTTTGGTGCAAAAGATGTGCACAATCATCAACTCTCAGCCCTATCGTCTCAACACCATGGTGGAAACCTCTAAATGCTAGAGTTCACGGAACGGTTGTCATCACTAGCTTGTCCGGAGGTCTTAGACACGAGTTCAAATGACTGGCAATTGTCTTGGACATGGGGAAAAGGCCTTTTTTTGGGTGGTGGTAAACACATCATGAGGTCCTACATCTTCACCCTGTTTAGTTGCTTTATATGGTTTTTAGTTCTTGATTACCCCAATTTTATTGAGTATCATACAATACTAATCATGATTATTTATATAAATTTTAACACGAATCACATTGTTTTTTAAACTAATAATAAACACAATACAAATACAAACATCTTATCACACACGCCTGAGTTCAAGTTTGGAATGAGCTTATCAATACTATAGACTTTCCACATTCTTCCATATGTCACATATGGCACTTGCCAGTTAGGGCTGAAAAATGGTGCGGTCTGTTCCAGACCAGACCATATATATTGTCCGCGGTCTAGACCGAGTGGGTAAAACAGAGACCATGGACCAGACCATAAACTATACGGTCCAGACTAGACCGGGTAGACCATGTGTTGATGCCCGAGAGAGAGAGAGAGAGAGAGGGGGAAAGGAAGAGGAACGGTCTCCGCCTCGGTGGTACCGTCGAGGAGAAGCGCGCCTACGCCATCGGCGCTTTCCTCTGGCCCGACCAGTACTGAACGGTAACGGAGACTCGAGAGGGCAACGAGAAAAGGAATTTCGAAGATGTTAATGTGGAATGGTCCGGCTTCCGATGCAGTTCCATCTGCAAGCGGTGGCGCTCCCTCATCTCAAATCCTCTGTTCCGCCGACGCTTCTTTTCCCACAAACAGAACCGCGAGAGCAAATCAGGTGGTTACGGCGGCGGAGAACAATCTCTAGGATCTCCGTGACGCGTTGAGCTATTTCTCTGTTTTGGTATTCAGATTACCGCATCTGGCTTAT